CATGTAAACTGCACATAAGGCAATTTTTGCATTAACATGTTTTACTCTAATTTGTTAATGTTATATAATAATTTACACAGTTGCTGTTATTTTCATGACAACTATTTTAAACATACATTAAATAATCAAGATATCATAAACAGGTTAAGTAAAATATAATATATAGGCTAATATATAGCATTTATTTAGTGAAAGAGTTAGCAAACCAGCAAGCTGTGGACACTGAATGACTTGCCTGAGGTAAATATAAAGCTATGTGAAAAACTAAGCGTTTTATTGACGTATTTCCGCTGTTGAAACACTGATTGAGTGTTTACACGAGTTATGATGCCTTTCAGTATACTGTATCTTTCAACATACCTTCGGGTGTCCATTCATGTTTATTCTGTAACTGAGGAAGAGATGATCGCGCTCCGCGTTGCCGCATGCATACAGTGATATCTGTCACGCCACATCTAAGAGCGCCAAAACGGCATTTTTTTGTTTGCATTTCGTGATCAAATAGACATAATTTGAAAGATTACACCTTGCTTATTATCAAAAGTAACAAAACACTGAGCTTATTGCGATTATATGTGGTTAATGGTGGTTAGGCAACAGCCCTGTATTCGTTGTGTACACATAACACATGAGGTGCAATAAGCCGGGGCTGGAGCGGGGCAGCAGGGGGCGGGGCGTGTTCGGTTCGGCGTGAGAGTATCGCGATACGAATCGTGGGTGGTGTATCGCGGTTTTTCGGTTCGGTTCAAATATCGTTACACCCCTAATTCTGACGTGAGTGCTCAACTCGCGTTTGATTGCCGTCTGTATGTTTTCGTCATGGCCGAACCAACAGCTACAAGGAAGAAGGCAAAGGTTTTGTCAGAGGACACTAAAAAAAAGTAAAAGGCATAGTGACAAATGAAAAGCCAGGACGAGGATCACCATTGGTCTAGCGTTCGCTCGCTGGCGTGAGCTACAGGAGGAGGAGGGGTGCCCGACCGATGCTAACGCTTGCCTGCACACAAATGCCGTTTCCAAGGTGACACAGATAAATCATATAAGCAGTGTAGTATTTTCTGGTATTCCGGCCACAGCCGATGGTGTTATGAGTGTAATAAAATGCCCACAGCCCATTGTTCATTTCTACACACAAACACAGCCCGCCACAGTGCAGGGCTCGAACAAATAAAATCGACTCATGTCAAATGTACATTAAATGTAGTGAACGTTCCCACGACTCAGTGCCCACAAACACTACACACAACATGTCCCACGGTTTCTGTAAAACGAAACCAACACACATAAGTTACAGTCAGCTCAGGCCGACGGTGTTTTTAGTGCAGTAAATGTGCCCGGCCCGCCGTCCCGCGCCCACATTCACTCACAGACATGTTAGCACTAAGCCGCTCGCTCTCTCTCAGCAGACTGCTATAAGGGAATCGAGCGCGGCCAGGCTGCCCGCCTCAAACACTGCAAGCACACACAATCTAAAGACACGGGAAGCTGACTCACTGTCTATGGGCGGACCGGTTGACTGTTTGTTGACTTTTGCGACAGTGCTGCGGAGCTTGTGGCCTCTAGGGACGCTAGACGTGAAAGTTACAGGTCGAGCGCCACTAGTGGCCAAAAGTTCCGCAGTGTGCCTTTAAGTGCAATTTAAATGTTAAATGTTTAAATGTGCAATCAGTTTTTGCTATTTGACTGTTGATTATTAAATAAGTTTCAAAAATTAATTGATTATTAATTGATTATTTATTTTCGGTTTCGGTTTTTGGCCGAGTGCATCCTGAATTTTCTTTTTCGGCCCAGAATTTTAAAATGTATGATGGTGCTTTCAGAGGAACACTCTCATTTCTGTTCCTCACAACAGCACATTTCCATTATTTACAACACATTAGGGCTCAATAATAGGAATGGCTTGATGGCAGTTGACAAAACTGTCACATGCCCTAATTCAGTTTGAATAGGTTGAAAACAAACCAATCATGTCTTGCATCGTATACCATTATTTTACAACAACTGTTTTTTTTTTTAAATAACATAATATCAGGGGTTACATTATAATTGTGAAAAATATATAATAATTATTATAAATAAGCTTATTGTAATTAAAACTATATTTAAAAAAAAAAACTTCAAAATGTTAGCAAGGCAAGTGAAAATCTGTTCTACTGGCCAAACTGAATAGAAAATATTGAAAATATTGATATAGAAAAATTCTTATAGGTTGAGCCATGTATAAAAACTATCCCTTCACTATACTTACAAACCACAAAAAAATGTAAAACATCAATCTTTGTGTTCCTCTTGAAGAATTTGACACATTTGCAGTGCACTGTACATTTATTCATGTTATACACATACAAATGTTTTTCTAAATGGTCATTTAAAGTATGTTGTGAAACTGAAATTTTCTTAATAATCATTTCTCAAAATATAAGTCATTAAACCTCAACCTGATCATCTAAAATCATGTATGTTTTCTGACCTATTAACAGGGCCCTGGGGTCTCAGATTCCAAACAGAACACAAGGATTAAAACAAAATTAGTTAGGAATCTGAAATGCAAATCATCCACAAACAAGCACCATACACAAAAACAAAATATCAGAGACATGAAGCTTTACAGCAAAATACCCTGGAACCTGCATCACAGAAGGGACATTTTCTGGGACACTAGCCAACACTCACAAATCCTTTCTTCTCCAACTCTTTCCCTTACCCGTACCCCATCCTGTCCTGCTGCGTGGCACACCATTCTCACACGGACAAGAGGATTTCAGCCTCTTACATCAGAGGGTTCAATGTTCAACTGAATTGTACTGTGTGATGAAGTAATGAGAGAAATATGGGTGGAAAGACCTTGTAATGATCACCTATAAATTTTACATCAGGGAGGAATTTCCTACTAACTATCTACTTAAAGAAAATATATTTCCGTTAAATGCTAAATCACTAATAACCAGGGGTTTTTATGCCAGAGCAGCTCTATTTTACCTCTTGAGATATTTAATTTAAATGTAATATGTGGTTTGTAGTACACAACTGGATGAGGAAAAATACATCCTTTAAAAAAAAAAAAAAAAATCTGAGCACAGGCAAGAATGAAAATCAAGCAATGATGCTATTGTTACAGAAATGCAAACTGAACTCCAGCAAAGAAGAGTTCACCACAGCCAGCCTTTGAAATCTGAGCAGACAAGAACAATGTGCTCTAATTTTATCGGAGCAAGACAGAGGCAGCGCTCAGCCACAGAGACCAAGATTAAATTATGTCCAGCTATAAAGTGGGGCTAGACACCAAATAGAAAGCCACAATGTACACAGAGAATCCCATGAAAGACAAGGAATTCCCTGTCTCCAAACATTAACCACTCATCTGCTTTTACAAGCTCTGCAGTTCAGGGGGTTGTGTGTACCCTTGCAGTCCAGAGTGAGACCGTTCATCCATATGGCTTGCCCTTTTTGCCTTTCGAACACAAGCTGAACACTGGTGTCTCACGCCTCCAAACTTTGACCCCAATCCTCTGCAGCGGCAGGAGGGGCAGTGGTTCCTTAGACCCAGACGATGGGGGAGCTGAATCTCGGTGTATTGGAGCAAAGGAGCTTTGGTGTGATATATAATTAAGGCTGAGTAACAAACACTCAAAGGGTAGATAGGTTATGAATTACAAGTGAATTGCCCAATTCATTTTATCACTAGCATCAGCCAAGTGTGACATGATTTTCAAGAGAGAAAAATAGATCAAAAAATTAAATTATGGTTCTCAATTATGCACACAAGCTACAAAAGAATATGAAGACTATATGGACAAAAAAAGTACTAGAATATCAGGAGAGTAGGATGATAAAGGATGATAAATCTAAATACATAGAGCAAAGATTTCCAAAAATGATTTCAGTTTAATTTTTTGAAAAGCAAAAATATCCAACTTCTCTTAACTAATTGGCAAATAATAGTGACATTTATTTATTTTCACAAGGTGATCCAAATGACCCTGGGTATAAACAGCTGAACTGAGCTAGGACTTTTTGAGTCAACAAAGCCAAGACTTTACAGTCTATTATTGATTTCTCTTTACTGTAAAACATATGCCACTGAACTTAAAGGTTGTCCTCTTTGTGTCATTCTGCTGGAAACTATAATCAACAGAAATGTAACATCCTGGTGAATTCATACATCTCCTTAGTATGAAGGAAGGAATATGGCAGCAGTGATGAACCTGTTAATTGGAGGGTTTTGTTGTTTCCTGTTAACTGTACTGTTTAATAGGACCAGATGCATGTGATATTAGCTGTTCACAGATTCTATTATTTTAAGTAACAGGCGTCCATCAAGACCTTCATTTTCTAACACTTCAACACAGGAAAACACCCACAATTGCTGTTGCATTTTACAGTATTTTTTCGATGTTGACAGTGTATGACTCCCCTTAAAGAGAAATTATCATAATAAACTTTGCAACAAAATACAGGAATCAATTCATTACTATGCAATTGTGGTAGCTTGGTAGGCTAATTAACGTATATTAGCACAGTGTCTAGATAAATAAATAAATAAAAAAGCAAACAAACAGAACGATTTGCAAAAATAATTAAAAATAAACCCTAGGATTCTTTCAGTCTAAATAAGGAATAGAAGATTACACGACTAAGCAGCAGTTGGAAAAATCTAAACTAGCCATTTACCAGACGCGTTAAGTAAGTAAATAACAGTAAACACATTACAGGCTCAGTATGTCTGCTGCAGTAACTTGGTTAAGCTTCTTTATGGTCACTCTAGCGCTGAGTTGGAACCTTTTAAGTAATTTACCAGCCCAGATATTTAACGGCTACCGTTACAACACACAAATGTATCTAAAGGGTTAGACTCACAGTCCGTTTTAGATACAGTGTGATTAAATATTAAATCAAATATTAAATAATAGTGAGCTGCCTACCTAGATGTTTGTCGCCATAGATAGATGTTAGGAGTCAGCAGCCTAATAGGTTGAGACAGAGACAATATTTCAACTTACCTTTTTATTCACAAGTCGACCTTTGGCAGCTTTCAGTAAAAAAGTGTTGCATGTCGTACAGCGGTACGAAAAGGCCTTTTTTCCGAAAAAGAAATACCCGTAAAAACAGACAGACCCAACTAACACTGTACTGAATGAGCAGCTGAACTTCCGAACGTGTCCCAAAAAGGCAGCAGAATAAAAATAAACACAAAATTGAATATGCAAATGAAAATCTCTATGCAGACTTAGAGCTTTGGGCTCTGATGGAGATTATAGATGCATGCATGCTGAAAAAACATCAGACGACATTTACATGACGCTACTAAATCCCTTCGAAAAGAGAAAAAATACATTAAAACGGCGAGGCAGTTTGTTAAGTACAGTGGCATAAATTGGTCATCAGTAATAGCATCTGATCTATGGTGCAAAATGAAGAGGGCAGTTTGAAGCTGCTACTGTCTGGTAGACTGACAGATACGATGCGAGGGAGCTGCTTCAGTAAAGTGCAAAAATAAAGACAGCGAGCGATGAGGCAAGCAGTCTGCCTGCAGTCGTGTGAAGAAATCCAGCGACGTTTTTCAAATGACAGCGGAAATATCCAAGGATAAGTGCGGAGTGTCCGGAGAAAGCGCTGAGAGTGTCGGGTTAGGATCAAGCCTCTGCAGCCATTTTGTTCGGTATCAACACAGCAGACGTGCAGCTCAACTACGGTGGGAGGAGTTTCGCCACTGAAGTCATTTCCATATGACGTTTGACCAACCAATAAGCAAGCGCACTGGTTTTAGTGCGGAGCACCGCCCATAAAAGGTTTCAAAGCGTCCAGTTGAATTCACAAGGGCTGGAATGGGCGTTCAGCTGAGACCACTGCACGTTCTGTACACAAACAAACACAGTCTGTCTGTCTGTCTGTCTGTCTGTCTGTCTGTCTGTCTGTCTGTCTATCTATCTATCTATCTATCTATCTATCTATCTATCTATCTATCTATCTATCTATCTATCTATCTATCTATCTATCTATCTGTCTGTCTGTCTGTCTAAGAAGTTGGTTTGCAATTTAATCTGCATTAAAAAGGATATAACGTAGCCTACATCCAGGGTTGATCCCATGTTGTATGGACCCTGGCCACTGTTTAGTGTGGTTCCTACTGTGGGATTTTGAAATAGGCTACAAAAGAGAAAGAGAGAAGATTCATGCAGCAGGATCCAGGTTAGCTCGTGTTGTTGTAATTTCCAATGGGACAAAAAGGGCTAGTGAAAGAAAACAAGACAGTGTCTCATTTTGTTTATGTAGCTATTTAGATTTTGATTTGAAATTAAAATAAATCAGCACAACATATTGAATTACATAAAAAAAAAAAAAATCATTACTTTTAATAACAAAATGGCCACTGTCGTGGCTCAGCCTCTCTCATCAAACTAATTATGGAAAATCAGTCCAGTGCTGGTTTTATGGTGTTTTGGGACTCGACTGGTTAATCTGATTTATTGCACACTTAAGTTTAATTGATTGCTTTCATGGATTTAAATGAATAATGAGGAGCTAATAAGGACTGTCTTTGTTTCAAGAACCTGGAAGTGAACAGGGAAAAGAGGATAATGACCATTGGACAGAGAGAGTGAGAGAGAGAGAGAGAGAGAGAGAGAGAGAGAGGGAGAGAGGGAGAGAGAGGAGAGGGAGAGGGAGAGAGGGGGGGGGGGGTTGGTCTATCACTTATGAAGGTGTCATTATACCTGTTTGTGTTACCTGTGTTTAATCTATCACCAGACGCATGTAAGGTTTTTTTTTTTTAATGGTCATAATTCAGTTTAAATAAAAAAAATTATATGCAATTGAATCCTAAATTCTGAGATCACAATGAAAATCTATAAATAAAGTTTAAAGGATGTATATATTAGACTATTCTGTATCTGCACTATTTCTAGGTCACTAATCAAATGTATGCAAAATTGTGTTATTGGCCATGTCAGATTTCCTTCCTTACAGGATGCTCTTTGGATCATCAGGTTTAGCACAAAAAAACATGCAGTGTCAACAGTCAGCTTGAGCACAAGTGGATATACCAAATATAAGAAATTTGGTAACACTGTATTTTAAGGTGACGTAGTTACACGTTACTACATGTCCACTTTATAATAATAGTAAATTATGCATAATTACAAGTAAACCAAACCCTAACCGTAACTCTAGCCTAGTACCGGTTAATTAATATTACTCAGTACTTATTTGAGTAAGTACAATGTAACTACGTCACCTTAAAATAAAGTGTAACCAGAAATGTAAAGAAGAAATCAAAGAAACACAACAATTCATCAACATTTCATTGTGGAATTTTACATACTATAGTTCTTCCTTATATATAAACACGTTACATTTCTGATACAAGACACAAAGAATAATTTTAACAACAAAAACCCTGCTTATAAATCACTGTAAATATATCGGTCATTACAGTATATAACTTAGCACCTATCCTCGTCAGATCAATAATTATATTTGGTTGGTTTCCTCGGGTTCAGCCTACTGTCAAGCAGCTAACCAACATAGGCCTATACAGGGGATATACTCATCTTGACTGGATTTTACAAAAATTAGTCAGAGCAATATTCTAGAGATCACTGGTTCTGGCTCTAAGATCAGTTTGCCATTGGATATTGTTAAAAACGACTCGGTTACTAACGTAACCTCGTTTCCCTGAGAAGAGGGAACGAGTATTGCGTAAGAAGCTTACGCTATGGGAAAACTCCTTTTCTCGAGAAATATTGAAGTCTTTATGTAAAACGCATTGCAGCTGCACAGCATACAGCAATGAGCGAGGGAGCTCGGTCATTGGCTGTGCTGCGGCAACTGCACGAACCAATGACGGGGCGACTCTGAACCCGCTTCCAATGAGCGTGCTTCGCGCCCGCGCGCGTCAGAGCCCGCCAAGATGGGCGTGGCCAAGGGCTATATATTGAGCGCCCCGTCGTCTGAGTTCTTTAGGTTCAATCGACTGAAGCGAACTGACCAAGCACAAGCACGGCAGCTTACGCAATACTCGTTCCCTCTTCTCAGGGAACCGAGGTTACGTTAGTAACCGAGTCGTTCCCTTTCGAGAGGTTCCTCTTATTGCGTAAGAAGCTTACGCTATGGGAACGCCATGTAAAACGCTGTGCGTGCTGACTTCGCTCTATTAAGCCGGAGGCAGATGCCTGAGCCTTTAAGCAAAGTAATTATCCACGAGCCGGCCGAAGGCGGGTTTTATAAGGGACAATGTGGAACGGCCCAATGGGCGCCCAGAGAAACACACATAAGCACATTCTCATGTACTGATATGCATGAAAAATCCTCTAAGTCAGTCAGAGACGGACCCTATAAGGGAGGAGATAATGTTCAGCATGTACACACTCCAGCCTATGCGCAGCTAGACCGACAGTATGTTGGAGTGCAATGAGGGGACCTGTAGGTTATAAAACCTGATAAATGTTGACGGCGAGGCCCAGCCTGCCGCTGCACAAATATCTTGAATGGGTATCCCACTCGACCACGCCCACGAGGAGGCCATGCCTCTCGTAGAGTGAGCTCTGATGCCCAAGGGGCACTGAAGGCCCTTGGCTTCATAAGCCAGCGCTATAGCATCAACTATCCAGCGCGATATTCTTTGCTTTGAGACAGCCAGACCTTTAGTGCGGCCGCCAAAGCATACGAACAACTGCTCTGTCTGTCTGAACAGGGCAGATCGTTCCAAATATACTTTGAGTGCCCTGACCGGGCAGAGTAAATTAGCGTCGCTTTCGTCTGCTGGAGACGATAGCGCGGCCAAAGATATCACCTGTGCTCTGAAAGGAGTAGAGAGCACCTTAGGAATATACCCGTGTTTTGGCCTGAGGACAACCCTGCTGTCGTTAGGTCCAAACTCCAGGCAGGTAGCGCTTGATGACAGCGCGTGCAGGTCGCCCACTCTCTTGACCGAGGCGAGAGCCAGCAAGAGAGCAGTTTTGAGCGAGAGCTGTTTAAGGTGCACAGTTCGGAGGGGTTCGAACGGGGCACGTTTAAGTGCGTCCAGGACCGTGGCCAGGTCCCAAATCGGCACCGAGGGGGGGCGTGGGGGATTTATCCTCCTGGCGCCCCTCAGGAAACGAACAACTAGGTAGTTTTTCCCTAGTGTGCGGCCTTCCACAGGGTCATGTGATGCCGCTATGGCAGCCACATATACTTTGAGCGTGGAGGGGGTGCGGCCTGCCTCCAACAGCTCTTGTAAGAAAACGAGCACACTCGGTACTTCGCATATCTCAGGATTCAGGTTCCTGGATTTACACCAGTCACTGAACACCTTCCATTTCTGGGCATATAAGCGCCTCGTAGAGGGCGCTCGCGCCTCAGTGATGGTTCTCAACACTCCACTGGGGAGGTGCCCGGGAATCCGTTGAGGGGCCACGCATGGAGGGCCCACAGATCGGGGCGGGGATGGAGGATCATCCCGTTGGCCTGCCTGAGGAGATCTAGCCTCAGTGGAATCGGCCATGGGGCAGATTGCATCATCTGCATCAGTTCTGGAAACCACGTCTGGTTCTTCCAGAGTGGGGCTACCAGGAGCACTGCACATTTCTCCTCCCTGATCCGACTGATGACCTGAGGTAGCATCGCGACCGGAGGGAAGGCATACAGCGGGCGGCTCGGCCAGACTTGGGCGAGCGCGTCTGTGCTCTTTGAAAAGAAGAGAGGGCAGTGCGCATTTTCCTTGGAGGCAAAGAGGTCGACCTCTGCTCTGCCAAAGGGTTGCCATAACCACTGAATCGTCAGGGGGTGGAGAGACCATTCTCCTGGGAGAACTTTGTCTCTGGACAGCATGTCCGCTCCCTGGTTCAGAACACCTGGCACATGCGCTGCTCTCAGCGAGCGCAGGTTGCGCTGGGACCATAGGAGGAGCTCCCTGGCCATCGAGTGCAGGGAGCTCGATCTGAGTCCACCCTGACGATTTATATGCGAGACTACCGTCATGTTGTCCGTTCGGACTAGGACGTGCTCGTCCTTCAGGTACGGGAGCAGGGCTCTGAGAGCCAAAGCGACCGCTTTCAATTCCAGACAGTTTATATGTAGGCACTTCTCCGGGTTTGACCACAAGCCGGAGACAGGCCTGCCCTCGTAAAGGGCCCCCCAGCCTATTTTGGAGGCATCTGTCGTGATCATTTTTCTCCTTGTGTTCACGCCCAAACTCACGCCGGACTGATACCAGTCGACAGCCTTCCAGGGCGTCAGGGCTTTTATGCAGCCGTAATTCGCTCTGATTAAAAAGTGGCCCGAGCGCCACGCGTGAGTGGGGACACGGCTTTTGAGCCAGCGTTGGAGAGGACGCATGTGCAACAATCCTAGCTGGAGTACAGCTGATGCTGAGGCCATGAGACCGAGCATCCTTTGAAATCGTTTGACGGGGGCGCGCGCACCCGCTCTGAACGATGTTGCAAGGCGCCGGATAGTGAGCGCGCGCTCTGACGAGAGGCGCGCCGTCATCTGCACTGAGTCTAGCACTATTCCCAGAAAAGAAATATTCTGGCTGGGAGATACCATGCTCTTTGCAAAATTGATTCTTAGACCCAGGCAATCTAGATGACTGATAATCCAAGATCTGTTTGTCACTAACTGGCTCTCTGATTGTGCTAGGATTAGCCAATCGTCGAGATAATTCAGTATTCGCACTCCCCGCTGCCTCAGGGGG